TCAACATAACAGCACGGCTTTACTTCTACTTTGTTTTTATACTTTTCTGCTGGGTGGTTAAGACCAAGGTAAAGCAGGACCTATACAACAAGAGTTGTAGCTTTTGGGTCTCATAAGGTCAGTGAAATCCCCTCAGGATTTATCTTGAGATCGTGTACCTCAGATTGTAGAACCTTTGTCATTGTCAGCCTTGTGGATGAGTCACAGCCCTTGCTTGGCCAATGTGCTCTCTGTGAAAGCCTAAGAGAATGTTTTCTCTCCATGTGACTCTCCTTAGGCACACTCTACATCATCGATCACTTTCCTCTTTGGCCCCATAATCTCCTTGATCAGAAAATTTGGGACACTACTGAGTTACATGACGTTATAGTACAAGTTCTTGCATGTCCTGAGTCTTAATTGACCTTAGAAGGTTAGGGTCAAAATGTTGGCTTTCCTTGCAGCCCTTCTTTTTCTCTAATTTTGGACTGCAAACTTAGGTTGTTAACCATCCAGAAGACAAGCTTATTGTTATTATCAAACAACTTACGCTATTAAGCTTAACCTCACTATCTTTCTGCATATCAAACATCTTAGGCATACTATGGAACAGGTTGTTAGGCATACTATGGAACAGGTTTGAAAAGATCTTTGACTTCTTTAGTTAGATGAATTCCAAGGTATTTCATTTTCTTTGGTGCTATTGTAAAAGGTATTGATTCTATAATTTCCCTGTCATTGTGTTTGTTGTCTGTGTAAAGGAATGCTATTGACTTTTGGGTATTGACTTTATAACCTGCTATGCTACTGAATTTCTGTATTCTAGTAGCTTCTTGGTGGAGTTTTTTGGGTCTTCCATGTAAAATATCATGTCATCTGCAAATAAAGATAATTTAACTTCTTCTTTACCTATTCTTATTCCTTTTGTCTTGTCTTGTCTAATTGGCTGTAGCTAATGATTCCAGAACTATATTGAATAGGAGTGGTGATAGAGGACATCCTTGTCTTGTACCACATCTAAGAGTAAAAATTTCAGTTTTTCCCCACTTAGGATTATGTTAGCTGTTGGGTTTTCATAAATGGCTTTTACCAGATTGAAGTAGAGGCCATCTATTCCAATTTTCTGTAGGACTTTGCACATGAATGAGTGTTGGACTTTGTCAAAAGCCTTTTCTGCATCAGTGGAGATGATCATGTGGTTTTTAGTTTTCGCTCTATTGATATAGTGCATTACATTTATAGATTTTCTAATATTGAACCATCTTTGCATCCCTGGGATAAATCCTACCTGGTTGTGGTGTATGATGTTCTTGATGATTTGCTGTATTCTATTTGCTAGTATTTTATTGAGGATTTTGGCATCTATGTTCATGAAGGATATCAGCCTGTAGTTCTCTTTCTTAGTTGCGTCTTTCCCTGGTTTTGTTACCAATATAATACTTGCCTCAAGGAATGATTTTGGGAGGATTGCTTCCTTTTCAATTTCATGGAAGAGTTTGAGGAATATGGGGACTACATCTTGTGTAAATGTCTTGTAGAATTCAGCTGTGAATCCATCCGGACCTGGACTTTTCTTTGCCGGTAGGTTTTTAATTACATCTTATATTTCATTGGCTGTTATTGGACTATTGAGAGTTTTCAATATATATCTTGTCGATTATATCTTGTTATATCTTGTCGATTCAGTTGTGGTAA